TAGATATGTTCAATTGTCCCATTATATTGTCATTTAGACCAAGGGGATATGCAGTCTGCAGTCATTTAATCCAAGACAGTTCGACAATTTTACGGGAATCTTCAAATTGTTTATGGGATTGCCTTTGTTGTTTCAGGATCGTTTATAGTTGTTGGAACTTTATAAATTTGATGTTTTGATTGTGTTTTCCTAAATTTTGGTAAATTATACTTTTAAATTTCTTAGGTTTTCGGAAGCGGTATAGATGTCCTGTGTTTGTCTAGAACATTACCGTCCTGTTAGTCCTACATATTGTATACCACATTTTGGCTTTGTTTAAGTAACCCGAAAAATGTGGCTTTGAGTTTTTTATGTAAAGTCTCCCGTTCACTGTTGACCTAACAGTAGTATTAGAAAATAATCTAGAGCAGGTTAGTCATTTTCTGGCATTGCACGGGAATATTTGTGGATATCCACGTACATGTTTATTTAATAATCTGGCTGCAGCGACATTGCCACCTTTGAAACAATTATGAAAAGTGCTAAATTTAGAACGGGAATATTTATGGTGTATTTAGTTTTTTTTTTCCATTTGTTAATATCATGATTAATTAGAGGGTATTATGAAAAAATTAAATGAGGCCGAAAGTCATAACATTGAATAAAGATTACAATAACGGAATATATAAACAATTTGTAAAGCAGCCGAAGAATTCTTACAAAAACTATAATAAAGAGCCTGACAGAATGACGTTAGTAAAACAAAACGGACATATAACAAACACTGGCCCGAAAACACTGTTATTTCGTAGTGCATGTCTTTAAGACAAAATAGACGCAAATTAAAAAATTCACACCTGCTCTATCCAAAAAAGAATTTTACAGTGTAGTATACTACATATATGGACAAATTATATCAAAATTATAGAAAAGTCTATAGGCTATACCTAAAAATGTGAACAGTTTTATGTAAAGGGGGTCTATAAATGATATAGACAGCTTCAGACATACTAATTATTGACCTTTTCAAACTGGACCAAATCACTACTTTACCTAAAATAAATTTCATGCTTCAAATTGTTTTCCATGTAATTTCACCCCCTACTTACTATTTTTATGCATATAATATAAAGAAATAAAATTGGAAGGTGTATGAAAACACTGTCTTCATTAGGGACAACGAAAATCAACGGACGATAATTGTGTCTCGGATCTAATACAGGGCAAATACAGAATGATATAAAAATTCTTAGTAAAACCATAGAAGGGGGCAGGGATAAAAATACAGTAAAAGAAATAGAACATTAATATAATGGAATATGTAGACAGCTCTCTCACAAGCAAACAACGCTAACTGTAAAATATAAGGGCATACTCTGTTTTTCATATTATGTAATTGGCATCATCATAACAAATCTTTAATCGAAATTTTCTAAACATTTACAAGTAATCATTTACACACGGTATAATATAAATCACTCCAGTTTTCACCATAAAACACAACGTCACCTTTGATGAACACATTAAAGTCTTTTATTCGCATAGTTTCGAAATACAATAAGCAATTTAATAAAATAATGATTTCTTTAAAAATAAAATTAGCGAGTAGTCTTTGATATTTAAAAAAATGAAGGTATAGGCAAACTGGGTCCAAGAGACTGTATTAGTCATGTTATTCCTACATGTCAAGACATAGAGTCATACTTATTTAAGTGAACAAGCGAGTTACAAAAACACTAGTCTAGCATTATAGAAACGTAGGAAGCGACATAATACTAGTTTTTTGGTAGAAGGTCAATTTTAATGTGTACTTTTGAAATATGCAAAGAAAAATATACCTTCATGACTGACTTTTAGAGATTTCCAATAAAATGACATATGTACGTAACTCGACGTACGGACCTAATGGGACTGGTTATTGCCAACCATTAAATTTGATTAAATACGTCGCTCAAGTTTAAACAAAGTATTCCAAGACTTTTAAAATCACACATTGGAATTTTTCGTCCATACAAAATAATTTTATCATGACGAAAAATTATAGAAATCTTTACTGAAATAAGATCACGTATAAACACGTATCCCAAACCTATCATACGTACGATTTGAGTTATCTTTCATGATTTTGATTATGAAAACTATTTTTCTATATACTTTGCAGATGAAGGCCCATTTATACTTTTATTTCTGTCTTTTTTATATTTGTTGCGGGGAAAATATTTAGAAGGATATTTTTATATCTATTTCAGAAATATCGAAACCAAAGTTTGTCAGAATCTGTCTCTTTATAAAAGTTAAAAATTAAGATAAAACTATCGCTTCCATTTAATTTCTAAACAAAAGTTTTTTTCATTTATTATAAAATGTATTGATAAAAAAGTCCCTATATATGTTGTTTTTTAGAATGACGGTGTGTTTGACTAGGGATTGTTCTGTATTAATTTGTGTAACGGGAATGCTATCGGAGTTCAAATATAAAAGACATTTCCAGGGATTTTTTTTATATCCCTTGAAGTAAATTAACTACAAGCATTTTATGGATTTTATTGATAAACAATTAAAAGGGTGTCACCGAATTCATTTTACTGAATAATTCATTAACGGAAATGTGTATGGTAAGTAACATTGAACAACATAATATGATAAGATTTCGTTGCCAGATGCGGATCCAGGAAGACATGTCATCCTACCCGGACACATGATTTTTACCCCGGACCAACCAATCTTTGCTCTAACTCCAAAATATTGAGTGCTTGGCAGAGAGGTAGCCAATCTTCGAATTGAAACGGGCGAGGATCGAGTCGAAGACTTCCTGCACTCGAACAGTGCATGGTGTAGCTTTCATTGACGCAATGAGGTAACAACCTCACCAAATTTTTGATAATTAAAAAAGAGAGATAAAGAGAATTATATACCATGTACGTATAAAGTATACTGAGTGACGACTGTTCAAAACGTTGACTACTTTACTCTTTACTCACTCATTCCTCATTATTAACGTCTTGAAAACTTTTTTCATAAAATGAACAAGGTAGATGCAAATATCTTTTTTAAGTAACAGACAAATAAAATTGAGAATGGAAATGGGGAATGTGTCAAAGAGACAACAACCCGACCACAAAACAGACAACAACAGAAGGTCACCAACAGGTCTTCAATGCAGCGAGAAATTCCCGCACCCGGAGGCGTCCTTCAGCTGGCCCCTAAACAAATATATATGCTAGTTCAGTGATAATGAACGCCATACTAAACTCCAAATTGTACACAAGAAACTAAAATTAAAAAGTATACCTCGCAAAAAACTGATTGAAACAAGAGGTCATAACTGTGAAACTGATATGATGCTTGATTTTTTTTTGACAACGAACTTGTTACTTTTGGTGGACAAAGTTTTCAACAGGTACTTGGCATTCCTACATTTTATTTAGTACTCTTCTATCTTGGTTAATATAAGCACGACTTCATAGTTTACCCATATATTTTGACAAAAGATAAACGTATAAAGGTAAAAAACATAGTGGATCTTAAACTTATTATCCCCAGATCTGTACAAAAGCATTTTAGAGGAGGTCATACATATAATTCTGTCAATTATTTTTGTTTTGATCAGGACCTGTCTGTAACTGAATACTGAGAATTTAACCTTTAACCAGCAGTTTCATTGAAATATATTTATTTAATGCGCACAAGAAATCTTGTTTCATTATAAAATTGCAAAAATCTGGATTTTACATAGACAGGATCTTTTTGCCAGTGTGTGACCTATCAAGAATATGCATCACCTACATCTATTTTTCGATTCATATTTTCAATTAACCGTTCACTCCCTATTGGCATTGACGTTTTTAAACCAAGGTGAGGCTTTGACTGTCAAAATTTAAATCATTTGCCTCACACGAAATAAAATACAAGTTACGCTACTGTCAATTGATTGATAGTTGACTGCATAGCGTTCTGCGTCAAATATTTCATGTATAATTAACGTGTAGAGAGCTTGGCATTCTCTCTACTACTGTACTAGAGGCATCGGATTTAACGTCCCCACTCTGACTGGACGGGACTGCGTACTTGTACATTCCGCACAACCAAACGGACTCCCCACTTTGACAATGGTTTAACTGCCGATAGGAACAAGACCAATAGTGACTATATTTCTATTCCCCCGATCACCTTTGAGGGGTTACTGTCGAGGCGAGCACGCGACCAAAGAGACAGTTATGAATATGGAAGATACATATACATGTACGTGTATTAATCAAAACATTTGCAACAAGAATGTGTAGCCTTAAGACACCGTGCCCCTTCACATGATCATATTTCCATGTTCAGTGCACCACTTTATCCGGGTCAAGCTCTAATTTGGTATTCAATTTTAAACCTTTCATATTGTGAACAGAACCGAAGAACGGATGGTTGCACAGACCAGTAAATATAATATCCCTTGCTATCATAAGTTGGTCATACAACTAAAATGATCATTCTACTTAACAAAACTTCAATCAAATATTCCGTATATGTCCGTTTTTCATACGTATTTGTATGAGTTAAACGCTAAACATTTTAGAAAAACAATTTAAGAGCAATGACGTTAAACTACGCATACGTTTGTACTGGCTCTTCCTAGAATCCAAGCATCATTATAAGAGAAGATATAAAAAATTAACTGATTCAGGAAAGTGTAATCATATTTTTTTTGAAGATGCGTCCTCATGAATTCCATTTGATAAAATTCTACGGAAAGGTGATGAAGTACTATCAGAAAGATGGGAATCATAATAACAGAATCCTTAAGGAGTATGTACATTCTTTTCTATGATTATATTGTTTCAAAAAATTGATTCGGTGAAAACATTTTTTTAAATTTAAATAAATTTCATCATTCAGCGTTGGTATATAGATCAACAAAATTCACCATAAACTAAAGTTACTGAACATTTAAATGACATTGTGAGGACTTGACAGGTTTCCTAGTAAGTGCAATTACAGATGTAAAACGAACGTATTGTCTAGAGACACCACTTTGTTATATTACAGAAATCATCATGAAAGTGATTCATTTAAACTTAAAACATAATCTTCCATCAAATTTCCTCTTTTTTGAAAGCCATATTGACGCGTTCTTATCCTCTCCACAAAAACCATCTCATTCTTTTCTAGATAGTAACAGTCGTCTCGAGAAACCACAAATGCCGAACACCACTTAGAAGCCACGACTATATATCCGCTTCTTTTATCTACTTTGTAATTGCAATAATCCTCTACTTCTTTACGCAATCGTTCAAAATATAACAATTCTAATTGAAAGTCTAGACCCTCCTTTTGAATTTGTGACCACAGGCGTCTGTAAAAGAAATTGTACAAGTCGTAGTCTAACTTTGCAAATCTTTCGTACAAATGTCTGTGAGTGTTATCAGCGAATGAATATGACCGTGGCGCCGTATTTTGCCTGAAAAACAAGACATCCTTTATTGTCCAGCCTAATATACGTCTCATCATAACAACCGACTCAGTGAAATATTCCATTATAATCACAAACTGGAATTCTTTATCAAGTTTCGTCAAATAATTCATGCTTTCTTCTTCTAAATATTGATGAAAGAGATTGGAAGGAAATCCAAACTCAACTGCCATTCTGTTGTTTGTCATTGACCACCTATATGGTAAACCATGTTCATAATGAGAAGGATCTTGCAGATACTTTAAAACTTTATTGCGTGATTTTATTCTTTCAAAAATATATGGAGCTCTGAAATAATTCAAGGTCGACAAGAACTGATCAAATGGTTCGCGAACAATACCTATATATGCTGTGTCAGTTGGCATATACTTATGAAAAGCTTCACTGTTGTATAACACATGGCAGCATAATATGTCGTATGTTCTATTTTGTGGAGGAGGAAGAATATTTTTGTCATTCAAAGTCGACTGTACACTGATAACATTATCCCAATGATCTTCACGAATTATTGGAAGTACAAACGTGAGGTTGCGAGATTCACCATAGCGAAGAAATATGTTCTGTGCGGTCGTACTTCCTGCTTTGTGGACTTTCAGAAATGCTACTCTTTTGTAATGTACTTTGGTTAATTCAATTTCGGGTGAAACATTTGTCGAGACCAATCTAGGGTCTGACAGCGGGGTAAGAACAACAGTCTTCTCGGATATTTGTTGCCCAACTCTAGCTCTTGATACATTTCTTTGAAACAGAGAAGACGGAGAAACGGACACAAATCTAGAACTGACGGAGTAATGGACAGCTTTCGACTTGGTGGCTGAACGATATTTATCTCCGTGAAGTAGTGCAAATATTGTCAGCATGACGATCGGTATAGATAAAACAGTCAATCTGGAATTTAAAAAAAAAAGATATATAAATTGTGTAATTTTATATTTGTTACAATTTGTAATTTTCTATTTTAAAATGATACCAGTTCAGCACCTTTTTAAAATATATTTTGCACAGCATCTACTGAAATAAGTCACCAGAACACGACTTTTAAAGAGATTTGCTTACATAATCCAGATGCATTAATTTTACACTGGTTGTATTTCTTACGTGCATTATATCTAATTACCTATCTAATTACCTCACTGGGAACGAATTGGAAGACTACAGAGATACGGGGAAAACATGCGTTATAAAGTTAAGAATCAAAAGTAAAGAGGAATAGAAAATTGTCGACACCTGTCCAATCCCTTTGAATTTGAGTGTGTATAATGAGATAATATTTTTCAGTCAAATTTTATTTGCATTTTACAAAGAAGATATTTATATGATACTTTTTTGTATTATATTGTAAATAAAATACGTTTGATAATACGACAAGTTGAAAGTCATCATTTATAAAATACATCATTGAATCAATCTGGATATATAATACATAGATAATTTGATAGGTTTGGAATATATTAGTCAAATTAAACTAATTACGATGAAAATGTGAATCTTTCAGTCTGGCCACTTTCAAACTGATGTTCATATCTCAATACACGCGCAAAAATAATGATATAAAGTAAAACTTTCGAAGCTGGAATACTGTGACACTGTGAATTAAACAGCTTAAAGATTTAATTTTGACTTGGTGAACCTTGAACAATATATACGGACAAATCGTTCCTTAATGACAATCTGATCAAAATCAAGATATATTGTAACTCGCTTGCTCGTCGAAGATCGAAATCAGAGATCGATTGCCTTCATGACTAAATTGTGTATATTGTTTGATTGTTTGTTTGCTGTTAAGATAAATAAATATTGGTTACATCTTTTGTTACAGATTTTTTTTTATCTTAACCGAACATGATACTCGCTGACAAAACGACCAAGGTCAAATAACATCACACGATGAGGAAATTTCTGATTCACCTGGACTCCCGCATATATTAACTGGTTTATGTTTTTCATGTATCATCTTCGGAAAAATCCTGTTAATAATTGGTGTGAAGTACGGCTGGCGGGCGGATGCCAACAGTATCCGTGCAATCTGTAAAACTTATGAACCGTTCAACCAATGCTTTTTAAATTTTAATATGGTAACACTGATAACACAATACAGTTCAAGTTCGATATTTGCGATTTTTGTTATACAGTTCAGTAGTTATGGTCCTTGATAAACATGTTTTTGAAAATGGCACTTTTTTCGTTCAATATTTTTTGAACCCTTCTACTAATGGTTTTCAAATTATGATATGTTATTACTGATGACAAAATGGAGGTGAAGTTTGATAATGAAAATTTTCACATTTACTGTTCAGGAGTTATGGACCTTGATCTATTGGAAAATTGCACTTTTTTTGGTTCCCGTGCAATTACTCATGCATCACTTGACCAACGCTTTTAAAATTTTAATATGTTGTTACTGTTGACAAAATGAAGGTCAAGTTCGATATTGATGATTTTCACTTTTGCCGTCCAGGAGTTATTCTCCTTGATAAATTGAAATTGACATTTCATGTTGTTTCCGTGCAATTGCCCAAAAAGGTCTGCAAAACCATCTGTTTTCATCTTTGTATCGTTGAGTTGCATCTTTAATGTTATTGTGCAATTACTTATGAACCGTTCAGCCAATGCTCTTAAATTTTAATATGTTTGTTGTGATGATATATGATAAAAATTAAACTTTGTTAGTTGCATCTTTGTAATTGATTATTTCAATCTTAAGAAATAGGGGTACAAAATAGGGGAAACCATACGAATGTATGACCATGTTCAAAGTGAAAGGTATCTAACAATAAAGGCCCCAAAAGGTCAGCCAAAACCATCTGTTTCATCTTTGTAACGTTGAGTTTTTTTGTTTTTTTTTTCTTTGGGTTTGATCTGCTCTTTAACATTTGTATTAGATTTTTGGATATTTAAATATTTTCACCTCGAGCATCACTTAAGAGACATTAATTGTCGAAATTTGCATCTGGTGCATTAAGATTGATACCGTTTATGTTGTTACTATAGCTATATCACGCCATTTTATTATCAAAATACTAACATCTGATTGAGTTTTAGATACTTATGATCATATCAACAACTTTATAATTTATTTAATCTAAATGTCTTACCCCTATCAGTTATAATGAAGCTTGAAATAGTGACATTTTCCAGTGGTTCATGCCTTCCTTTAAGTATGTAGGGAGAGCACTCCTCCCCGTGCTCTTGTTTAATCTTCAATACTATTTTTTTTTATCTACCACTAATCTCAATAAATGTGTTATTACTTTTAGAACTAGTAAATTATACACCTTTTTCAGAGATTCTAATGATACTCTTCTTTCTTGTAATTTCATATTTTCTAGATAGGAAACACACTTACATGCGTGTATTAGCCATATCAACATCGCTGAAAGTAGAAATTTATGATAAAGTGATGTATATCCAACCCGTATGATGCGTCGTTCTTTTATTCGAATGACAAAGTTAATGAGACATGCCTTTTCATCAGATTGATTATGATAAGATATGTCTTGCAATATGTTACTTTATCTTACTACTGTATTGTAAAAAGATGTAACCATATAAGGTTTATTTTTGCAAGACATGATTGTTTAAGAAAAAAACAGATTTAAAAAAAAAGTTTTAATTTCATATCGAAAGTAACTATTCCAATAGCTTGATTTACATGGGATTGAATATGTTACAGTGATTTTCAAAATTCCTTGAACATTGGAAGATTAAGTCAAATCAGCAGTCATTATTTTTTATAAAATCGAGTTTTATAAGCGCACCACCCCTTGCCTATCTACACCACATGTTATAAAACAAAAACAAAAATAAAAACGTAACATACGTTGTACAAGTGTACAACAACACCACTAAATAATATTTGAAAACACCAGATCTGAAACCAAACTTGTTACATTTCTCGATTAAATGAAAATGAGGAACGTTGAGCAATTGCGTATTACGAATTACCGGTCTTTCCTTCTCCTATAACACCCTGCTCAGTGGCTCCGTAATTCTCGAATCACGGCTTTGAGACGTGAGCAAACATTATCAGGGACGTCACAATGTCTAACGAGAAATTATCAACGACGTCACAATGTGTGAGAGAAATTATCAAGAAGAGGAAAAGACCAGAAATAGAATGATAAACAATTATCGAGTTTCTCTACGTATAGATATCGTAAAATATCAGCCTCTCGTCAAAAAAAATTCACATTGATATTTATCGTTATCAATGTTAAGAACAGCCGATATCATATACTTACATGGCTGTCATTCGATTTATCGAGACAAACGATCGTGAAAGAATAAGAAACGGTGATCAAGCATACGACCGGATCGTGAAGACAATTTTAAAAATACTATTTAACTGCAAGATCTGTGAAAATATCCGTTGTATTATCAACAGGCGGAAAAAAATCAGACAAAGACATATGTCTGTCAAAATGGTTCAGCTTCCTTCATAAAACTGCGCAATAAGATAAAGAGAAAATGCAGTACTTTTTAAGAAAACACAAAGAGGCGACACTCAACCTTGTGTGACTCATTGAAGAAACAACACGTCTGAATCTATAATGGTCACATTCAAATAAATTATGAAAGGATTTTTCTGATTTTAAATCAAAATTGATCTTGTAAGATCAAGCAACGCAGTTTTTTTTTACCGTGAAAGCAATGCATGACCAGACAGGACTTATTTATATACAAGTAGTACTTCCATGGTCATTTAAATGGGAAAATTAAACACATTTATGTTAAAAGTAAAGCGCGTTCTGTTCATTGTTTATGACAAATATTTTGATTAAATATTAAGACCTGTTTTCACTTAACATTAAAACATAACTTGACATCCAAGATGATAAGGCCACCAGGAGCCTTACTTGTCAAATGTAAGTATCTTTATATTTAAAATGATTTTGATTTTGTAAATATGCAAAGCGACAGGTGGTCTAGATAATATTTCCTGGAAATACATTGAATGTGTGTGCATTGGTATATGTCATAGTACTCAACTAGGTAGTGAAAATTTCAACGTAAATACCTCTAGTGTGATGGGATCGATGTTCTAGCTTGGTCTGTAAAATTCCTCAATGTCAAGCATGCATAGCTCTTTTGTCTAAAGTTCAAATAAAGTGACAGCCATTGCATGTCAAAGCACTACTTAGCTTGTATTGTGCTGAAAACATTGCCATATCTTTAATTGACTGTAAGAGCGTACCGGTTCCCGGAACTTAGGAAGTATCAAAACAGGTACATCAGAACTGAGAAACAGACAAAATATACCCTCCTTTTTATATGTTATGCAATTTATTTTAATATTCAAAACGTGTTCGAAAATGATCACCAGCTATTAAGTTTTCATTTGATACCAAAATTACCAAAATATTCTTCATATTTCGGAAGTTTACACACATGCGTAGGATCTGTTTTGTTTTAAATACGTACTATTTCTTGTATGTTCTTTCTGACCGGGTCCAAGTAAGTGGTGTTACACCTTTTCAACTCCGGTATTAAGACATTGCGAGGCATTGAAACATTTAATTTACAGCAAATTTACACCAGATATTCCAAAAATGTCAGCCAACGCATAATTTTTTACACCGAAAATCAATTCAGAATGGCATATAAATTCTATCACAAAAAGATGTTTCTCAAATTTTGTGATTTTTTTATGAAAGCTGAGTTTTTACCGAAATTTGAACACCGATAATTAATTAAGAATAGCATATTATATTTAATTCAATTTCGATCCAGTCCTGGAACGGAAAGAGTTTCTTCAAATTTGCAATATTTAATCGAAAATTTGACTCCGGGAATCAGTCCTGGAATTCCATGATATATCTGAAAATAGATTGTTATTGAAATCCTAGTACATAAAGATGAA